CTGCACAAAGTTATCAAAAGTGAAAAAAAATGCCTGTCAAATACTAGGGCTGGGAAGAACATAATTCAAATTCTGTCTCTGGTCAAATGTTTTGGAAAAAATCGATTTTTCCTTGGTGCTCAATTATCAGAGAAGAAAAAAAATTGTTTGGTTAGGTTCAGTTTTTCTCCCTCCCATTTTTCATGAGTAATTATCTGTGAAAATATACATCATTCGACCTAAATGAGAGCAGTGTAGTTTCCGAATGAAGTTTCAAATAGGTGCTTGGTGTAAATTTAGCCAAAAATTTATAAATATTTTCTCCATCCATGGAAGAAACAGGCCATATTAAGCTGAAAAAAGATTGAAATTGTTGTTGTGTCATTGTATGGCAAACATACATTGATACATATATACAAAGTATAATTTTCTTCGTTCCATTTGTTTCCCCCCAATTTTTGCATTTCTGTTTGTGTTGTATGTGTGAAATGTGTGTGTTTGTATGGTTGTTGTCATTTTTCCATGGATATTTTTCTGCGAAGTTGAAGTTTTCTCTAGTTGTGTGTGAGAAAGTAGCGTTGCCATATCGTGCCGATGCTCGTCTCCTGTGTCTTTCGTTCAGTTCTTATTGGTATGCTGGAAATTGTTCATATCTGGCAAGGCTGTGATGGTGTTGTTATTGGGGGGAAAGCACGTACTCCACCACAATTGTATCGCTAATAAAAGAAAGAAATTAAAACAAAAAAGTATGAATTAAATTAAACAAAAACACCACAATCACACCATGAGTCATATTTTTTTTTTCTTGATTTTTCAAGCAAAGATATAATGAATGGTATGACACCTGAGAGTGGCAAAAGACCAGACAAGTGCATTGACTGGCCTGCCCGTCGTTGATTGTTGATAATGTTTGCACTGTTTGAATTTCATCAGAGCTGAGTTTTTATTAACTTAAAGCTGTTGCTATAATTAACATTATCGAAAGAGGGCTGGCTATTAGTACAACCCACAAGTCTATTTTTGTGACATACTTTGTGTTTCCCCCCCAATGTAAACTTTATTTTATTTGAATCTCTACAGCAGGAATATTGATGTTATTACTGCGTATTACACAGTTTTGTAATGTAGCAAAATGGAAAACCCCAATGCAATTTAATCGAATGTAGTTTCGTCATTTGTCTGTCTTGTTTCAAATTTTAGCGTTAGGTAAATCTTGCGTTAGGTGAATCTATTTTTGCTGGTTTCCTTTTAATGATTTTTTTTCCACCATTTGAAATTACTTCTCTTATTCAGGAAAATGTTTATTTGCCCCTAGGATGTAGGACTAATAAATGACATAGGAATCAAAAGAATAAAAGAGAAATTCTTCTTCAAAACAGGTCAAGTAATTGCTGTAGACCCCACAGAAGGGTACCTCTTGAAGTTCCATTTCCAATAAAATTGGCTAAAATTTGGCATACTTGTTATAGACCCCATTTAACGTGACTTGAATTACTTTATTTTCAAGGTAACTGTCTTTTGGCTTTTGGTTTCACGAGGACGAGATTGTACTGTGATATTAAGACATCTTAGGGGACTGAATACATAGAAAACACATTCCAATATATTTCAAGATTTGAAATATCAATCAAATTATCATTTGAATTATTCAGTCCGATGTTTTGACCGAATGACATGTTTTTCGGTTCGTAATATTTTATTGAATTCCGGTTTTTACAAATCGCTCCCAAATTTTGCCATTGGCCCCAGCATGTTTTCTTACAAATATGTTAAATGTTTTTAGTCCTCAGGTTGTTTCCGAAAGTTTACATCTCACTACGTCAAATCCATGTTATCTTACGTGGTTTATAGGAACATTTCATTTTAACACCGTACACTCTGACCAGACCAATTTGTTCAGCTCATAAGAATGAGTCAAAAAAGAAGTAAAAGCTCTATCCGTCTATTGAAAACACTATAGAGCTCACGCTATTAAAGATAGAGCTGATTAATTCCTATTTTGTTTGGTTTTGAATGTATCGGTTCAGGTATATCCCTCATTTAGATTGCCCCAATTTTCAACCAAATCAACCGTAAGGATCGAATTCCCTGTGCGTACATTTACTACTCTAAAGAAATATTCTATGTAGGTGTGCTTTGTGACATAACACCCATATAACGGTACCTCCCTATTTTCTATATATTGAAGGTTTATGCACCAAATTGACAGGTACTCTTGCTGTTGTTGTATAATGTACACATGTACTGTTTGAATTCTGATATTCCGATTCTAACTCCAGGTTTAAAACATCGGCTACCTTCGCGGCCTGTAACCAAGGATCATCTCGTGTGAGTGGGGAAGGTTTGATAGGACAATTGAAGACGTGCAGCGTATTGTGTGGGTCTGTATAACACGCCGGGCAGACGTTTAGCACATCTTCATCAATTCGTGCCCAATACCAATTAAGACACTGCATTATTCTGAAATTAATTGCCCCAAATCGATCCGGGCAGCCAAAGTTCTTCAGCTGCAATGAATCTGGGTGGACCCCTAGAACGGCATTCGTACTGTAATTGCTGACGGCTGGCTGGTGCCGGCTAGCGCCTTGAGGACCTTGATCCATCTTTTCACTTGGGGTAGTTTGTGGTCGGAAGTTAGTACCCCTGCTCTGGAACTGTGCAAGATTTTCTGCTCGCAAAAACTATTCAAAGCTGGTCCATTTTTTATACCCTCCACTTTGAAAAGGAGGGTATATTAACTTTGTCATTCCGTTTGTAACATCACTAAATATTCGTCGTAGACCCCATAAAATATATGATATCACCATAAAATTCTAAGTCAATTTAACAATGTCCATCCGTCTGTTAAAATCACGATACAGTCCACATTATTTGACGTAGAGCTTCAAAATTTGGCAGAACAATTTGTATTGTGTCTAGGATGGTTGGTATTGAAAATGAGATATATCGGTCTGCGTCTTGGCATGGTCAACATATAACGTATCTCTCAATATTCGATATTTTGATGATTTCGTCACATTTTTCCACGGAATTGTCTAAAAAGTGGTATATGTAGGTCATAATGGGTTTTACTTTCAGTGGCGGAACATTGTATGTGTAGGTGCACGTTTTCGTATTATCGGTACCTCCCAATATTCGATATTTACGCCACATTTTTCCACGAATTTGTCTAAAAATTTTGTATTTGTAGGGTATAATGGGTTCTAGCTCCGATGGTATTTATAGGTTTACGTTTTCGTATAGCCCCCATAAAACGGTACCTTTCGACATTCGGTATTTTTATGATTTTTTGTCATATTATCCACCGATTCGTCTAAAAAATGGTATTTGTAGTTCTTAATGGGTTTTCGCTCCAGTGGCAGAACATTGAGTAGCTGAGACCATCATTGCCACATTTACCCACGGATTTGTTCATTTTTGGCATTTAAGACTCGCAATAGATAAGAATCATTGTAGTATAAAGTTGTCTAAATGGGTACCCATTCTGGTTTTTCTCCCCCCCATACTATTTATTTTTTTTGAAAAGTTTAACTGCTTTGTATTTAAAGTAGAACACGCTGTAATTAAGATACCTCTATACATTTTTTTCTTTACTCAATGGTGGAGGATATTAAAAAATCTGGCCCGGCCCGGCTTTTTACTTGTTTTTAATACGTTCCTTCTATTTTGTTGGAGGATGCTGTAATTTGACATTTCGGCTTCTCTACGAGTAGATTATCTTAGTATAGATCGACTCTTTGGTATTGCCCCCATATGACGATACTTCCCGATCTTGGATGTTTTCAAGCTTTTGCAGCATTCTAAATCAAATTTATTTAATTGGTTTTCACTGCATAATTTGAACACCTCAATAAAAATATTAAAATAGGCACACGCATGGTACAATAAGATCAAGGTAGCGCTATGGTACCATATGATTTCAATTTTTTTATTTTCTTGGCTTAATACGTCAACTATATTGTTTATGTATGAGTTTCCTTTTCATAGGCAAAGAAAATGTTCACAAAATATTCAAATTCGAGTGTTTTCAAAATGTTGATTTCAACGTATGCATTGAAACCATCTTCAGTTTTTGTAGCGAAATAAACCTTTAGAGATATATAGAACATGATTTTGAAAAGAAATTTTGACTTTTCATTGAGTTTTCGCGGTTCTCAATTATTTATTCAAAATAAATGCAACAAGTTGTTTGAATTTTTATTGTTTTGATACTAATTCTGACATTACAAGCCAAACAGGTAGACCTCTATACTTGCAATTTTTTCGAAGTTAACCTACCTTCTCTACTTTGTACCATGGGCACACGGTATGACATACCCACCCCACAAAGCGGTACTTCCATATTCTCGGTATTAGGAGGTTTCTGTCCTAATTGTCCAACAAACTAGCTGCGGTACAGGTATAGCCCCTATACAACGGAACTAGTCCATTTGGCAATGTATCTAGTTTTTAGGTGGTGGACGGTATAACAAACCGACCCGGTCCAACCAGACTTTAAGTCTTATCCTTATACTTTTTATAACTCTTGGAAAGTGATGCTTACGTAAGATTAGGAGATAAGATAGTTCATAGAATACCAGTCATAAAAATGAGAATTGATGCGTGATATGTATGTGATGTTTTCCATTCGTTTGACTCCTTTTTCCGCCACTTTTGCTGAATAATTACATACAGTGGCAAAGCTAGTTATCGATTGTTTCCCATAGACCTTTTTCCCCATTTCGACTTGATGTCGCCCAATTTTTAATCAAATATTTTATTAAAACATTTAAGTATAATCCGCGACATTTCTAGGGGTTTAAGCATTTGAAATTCTAAGATTAGATAAATATATTCACTCGTAAAAGGCCCAATTGTTACACGAATCTACCTCTCAATTGTGTTGTTGTTCCTACATTTACATAAATATATTTCTCAGTCAGTTATAAAATGACAAATATTATTTATTCAAATACAGTTGATTAAGTATCAAATTACTTACCTCTTTGCCTTCAATAATTAACTTGTTTGTTTGAAAACCCTTTTTTTACTCTGTAACTTCATTTTGTTTTTATTCTATTTAAATATATTTTACATTATTATTATATTCGTATGCACACACAAAAAAATTCTCTAAACTAAAAACGCTAGAAGTCATCGAAAACAATTTAATTTTTTATAGTTTTTTATATATATTTAAATTTTGTTACATGGGGACTCCTCATAGTCTCATCATACTTTGTGTTTTCTACGTCCCCCTTCAGTTGTTTTTAGTTAATTTTACTTTTGTTATTGCGTTCAACATTATTGTAATGTGTTGGTGATGATTCGGGCGATTTGACCGACAATTTACAAAATACCTGATACATTGTGGGGAAGTACTGAATGACAAAGTAAACCGAGAACAAATAAGCACAAATTAAAATTGTTAAGAACAAATCGAATACAGCAGGCTTAACACGATAAACATTCAAATTGGCATAGGCTCCCTCGTAGAACATGAAGTCGGGTTCACGAGCATCAGGTTTGTCGTAGATGAGTTTGACATTTTTAAGATACTTTTCAAATGCATTTTTGAGGTCGTTATTGTGTAAGGCGGATTTAAGATTTAAGTACGATTTAATAAGCTTGGGTGTAATTTGCTAGAAAAAAAAAAAAAAGAAAATTATGTTTTACAAATTTCAATATAGGATTTAAAAACCACTCACCATGGCACCAGCAAAGACCTCCAGATCGTCACTATCCACAGCTGCATTGTTGTTATCTCCATAAACATAACGGGCCAAAGCTTCGGCAATGATTTTGGCATTAAGTTGAGCTCTCTCCAGTACTTCTTCTTCACCATCACTGAATATGGTGGTGCGTGTAGGATGTTTTGGTGTCTTCAATGCAGACAAAGTAAAAGCTGATAGACGTTTGATACTGAAACGTTCATGTTGCCAGGCTAATTGCTGATCGGCTAAATTGATTTTCTTGTGAACTCCCTCAACAGTGACATTTTGATATTTTTGGCCGGCTTTCTTTAGGTGTTTGAAGAACACATTCATGGGAGTGTTCTCCTTTGGAGGCTTGGAAACATGCATATACAGTTGTTGATCTCCATTGTCAGCATTTAATGTTTGAGTTATGCTATCCAGGCACAAAACAAAGTCCACATTCTGTTTTTATTTTTGTAAAAAGAGAGAGGAATATGTCATTAAATATGTAAGTCAAACCACAATAACAAATAAATAACAATACGGTAAAGTGAAAGTTTGTTAAGAAGAAGGTGTGAGGAAAGAAAACAAAAAAGCAAATCGTTTAAAACATAAAAAGCTGCTTCTTCATACATAAAGACTTGCAAAAATTTCTAGCTAAGGCTAAAGGTTAATGGACTGAAGTATGATATGGCTAGCCAACGATTTGTTTTTGGTGCTTCATTTCAAATTTACTTTAGCTCTTCTACACCAATGTTATGAAATTAGTGTTAAAAGAAATCAAACCTCTTCTATAATATCACTGTGTTTTCCATGAGAAATAATAGAACCGGTTATAGAAAATATATCATCGTACTTTTTTGTCAAACAAAACAATAAGAATTACCATCAGAAGATTTGTGTTAACTTTTTACATACCTGCAATTGAACATTTTCATCTAACCATTTCTTGGCACCTTGGAAATTTAGCAATGGTCCAGATTCCGATAACAAGAAGAGTAGACGGTATTTTGGTGCGGCATTGGCAGTATTGTGTAATTTACTAAACAAATCTGCCAAAGTCATTAATATGGCCGCATCCACATTTGTGGGGTATTCATTGTAGATACCAAAGGTATTCAAATGACCAGCCACAATTATCAATGGTAACTTGCTGTTGAGATCTTCGTTATTGTTGGCCTTGCTGAATTTTGCTGCTGGGGCCAATTCTCCCTGGACAATGGGAATTTTACTGTTTTTATTGTTGGCGTGACTGGCACCGGTTACAATGATTTGATAGCCATTTGCCGAAATCGAATTGAACACTTCATTTAAAGCGGAATTGTCACGTGAATTTTTCTTATTGTTCGCTGAGGCAGTATTACGACTAATATCATTGACAATTTTTTCCAATTCTGTGTTGTATTGTGAAAAATATACGGGTACAGAAATTGACTGAGTCATCATGGCTTGTTCCAACAAATTCAAGTGCTAAAAAAGAAATGGGCTATAAATTGCTAAGTTTCTCAAGGGTGGATAATATGTATAGCACTCACCTCTTTGTCTTCGCTGGACATTGTTGAGACATTTTGTGGCAAAAGTAGAACTAAACCTCCGGCCTTTTGCCTAATCTCTTTGAATTGATCAATAGTTACATCTTGAAATCTGCAAAGAAAGATTGAAAGCTAATTGCTTTCAAATTGCAGTGATTGGTGGTTTGTAGACTTACTTGGCAACAACACAATGCCTAGATGTGCTCCAAGTATACAATGATTTGGCCTCCAAGGATAGAGCAGAAGCACGGCAGCCTGAAATATAGAAAAACAAATGTAAATTAATCTTTATTTAGAGTTTCTCGGAGCACATGGTTGCTTGGTGGCTGTATTTACATAGATAATTCTTCCCACCTATTTATTGCGGCTTATCTGAACATTTGGAAAGCTTTATCTTGATTTAGTTTCACAATGGTGTCATATGCAGTGAATACATATACATACATATTTTTATAAAAGGTTGAAACCGCTTGCCTTGCAAAAGTCACACATACAAAAATAAATGTTGTATTTAAATACAATACAAATAAAATAACATGCACTTCGAACCCACTGCCTCTCCTCTTCTCCATAGAAGAAAAATGTGCGAACACATAAAACTTGCAGCGGGTAAAATATATTAATTAGACACCATCATCATCACATGCCTAGCAGTAGCAATTGTGGTATTCGGCATATCACCACCACAACTACTACCCCCTTTTTAAGGCACTAAAAATAAACGCGCGTTGACCATTTTTTGTCCATCATTGTGCGTGCAGCCAGTCTCTACTCACCATAAGAAACACCATTGACATCGAATTGGGACATTCGCTGAACATTAAATTCGCTGGAGGCCAACACGGGATTAGCCGAACAGATAATCATAATGGGCAATGCCAAGAGTAAGTAGTAAGGCAATCCACCACGGAATATATCCGCAAAATTGTCTGCATCTTCGAAGATGGCCATCTTTATTTCTTTTTCTGTCGTGTGCTGGCAGAAAAATAATTCCGACGGCGGTTGCTAGAAAAAGTCGAAGGGGAAGTGCCCTTGTTTTTGCTTAAATTGTTAATAGCTAAACGAACTAAACTTTTCCACTGAGTTTGTCCCACTTTCTGTTGACTTTCATTGATGTTTTATTAATTTAATTAAAAGTGTTCTTGTGAAACGTTGAAGTATTATGCAGGTGTGGATTTTTTTCTCCCTTCTTATTCTCGTACACCGGTCTGCACGTTAGTTCTGTTAAAAGAGTATTCGAATACTGATTACTCATTTTATTTGCCCTCAATTTGCCAGACAGTAGCTTAGTCATTGGACGGTGTTGCCAGATATAGTTATTTGGTTGTGTTGAGCAATTGAAATACCATGGTTTGTTTGAGAGGGAGAGCAATTCGAAAGTTTTTTATTGTAATTATAAAAGAATGAAGAACAACAGAAAAGGCGTACAATAAATATATCAAGAAAATACATATAATAAATAAAAAGAAGAGAACATTAATTTGTATATTTTTGATGTTGGCAATGCTATTCCCGCCTACATGGAATATCGCAACATGTAGTATGTCTAATGTCATTCGTCAAAGTAATCGAATAGTCATCGTAGTAGCAACCCAGTAAACAATTTTTTCCGACTGCTCTGATTTTAGATTTTTTTTCGAAATTTCTGACGTTTTTTTCAGAAATTTCTGATAGAAATTGGTCCGATTTTCTAAACGTTTTTTTTTTTAGAATTTCTGCACATTTTCCTGTGTTTTTAAGCGAAAAAAACTCGAAAAATTTACAAACGGAGAGAGTAGATTGTCTATTGCTCTGGCATATTCTCTCCCACATGTAAACGGATGGTGGTGGTTTGACACATTCTCTCCCATAGTAGTTGTTGTTGTGATCATTCATTTCAAGATCTCAACAACAACAAAGCGCAAAGCAAAAATGCTATTTGTTATTGTTATTGTGAACTGTTAGATTTTCCGTTGTAAAAATGTGCGTTTTGTTGTTGTTGTGAATCAGCCTCTTTCTCTTTCGTTCCCAAAAAAATATGATGGAAAAAAATTGCAAAAACAACTACATACCGGTTTTCTGTGTGCACTGCTTTTTATTTTTAGTTCTTGTTTAGCAAGTATTCCTGGTAGCGACTCCCAAAAAGAAAATAGTATAGGGGATCATATCGCGGATGTCCAAATGTCATCTCCGGAAGAAATTAACGAAATTAAAAGTAATGATCCAAATCCTTCATTTGGAAATGCATGTTGCAAAGAAATTAGTGATGATCTCAATTCAGACCATTCAATAGAAAATGATTTCGATTCAGACAATTTAAGAGAAAGTGATTTTGACTCAGACCATTCAATAGAAAATGAAAGTGAAATAAGTTTGAGAACATTTTTATTTCTTCCGAATTCTGAACGATTTCTTTCAGAAAATCGGAACTTTCTCCCGAATTCTGAGCGTTTTTTTTTCAGAAAATCTGAATTTTATTCCGAATTTTCTTTCGAATTCTGACCGATTTCTTTTAGAAAATCTGAATATTCCGCCGAATTTCCAGACGAATTCTGCCCGATTTCTTTCAGAAATTCGGAGTTGTCCTCCGAATCTTTTCCGAAAATCTAATTTTTTCTCCTATTTTTTCAAGAATTTTCACCGAATTCGGACCGAATTCGTCCAGAAAATCTAATATTTTTTCAGATTTTTTTCAGAAAATCTTTCCGAATTCGGTGACCACGTCCATACAACTTTCGTACCGAAATCGGAAGGAATTCGGAATCAGAATCGGACATTTTTTCAGAGATTCTGACAGAAATCGGACCGAATTCGGCAAAAATTGTTTACTGGGAAATGTCAAAATGGATATTGAATATACACACACATGCAGTGCTGGTATGTATGTGTGTGTGCTGCATATATTTTATGAGGGCTTTAACTGATTATTTCTTCTTCGTTAATTTGATAATTAAACATTTAATTAAGGCCTCTCGCAATGACCAATTTCTAACAATCTTCATAAGTTTGTATTCTCTACAAGTCATGCCTTCACTTTGCAGTCTATACAACCTTGCCAGATTGAATACATTTCAAATGGCCATTTGAGATAATTTTAAATATATTTTTGGGTTTTTAGAAGAGAGGAATAAGTAACATTTAACTTGTTCAACTCCCTCGTTTACCACACACGACTAATTAAGGAGTCTGCAAGGTGAAAGTCGGAAAAAATCAGAAATCCGAACGAGTTCGGTCTGACTTCGAGTCGAAAGTCAGATGAAACTTCCGATTCAAATGCGACTTCTAATCGAAATTTATGAGGAGTGATTGACGAATTCAAGAAACGATAAGTCAAATAAAAGTCTGAAGATTTTTCCTACTTTCAAACCGAGTTTTCGAATAATTTTTGCGGACTTTTTAACCGTTTTCGGTCTGAATTCAGAAAAAAGGTTTATGAAATTCTGTTATTTTGGAAGTAATGTCTTAGGAATTTATGGTGAAGTTTTTTGCAGATTTGGGCAAAATTCTGAGAAAGTAGAGATCTGGGAAGTAGAGATTTTTTCCTTCCTTCGTCATGAATACTCTCGAAGGGAGTACCCGATTTGATCCAAACTTGGTACATCATAATATTAATGTCAAACTTAGATCGAGTTCGGAGGTGGACAATATCGGTCCACTCCTTCCTCCAAAACATCAACATTTTCAAAGAAAATAATTTACTGCACAGGTAGAGAAAGGATAATCCGATTTTGCTCCAATTTTGCAAATCCCAATATTTCCCTCAATGCAACAGCAGGTGCTAAAATTGACAATATCGGTTCACTCCATCCAGTACCTCCCCTCAAAGGTTCAAAATGTTGAATAATTATTATTATAACTCTTATAAAATTTGATGTAAGTGTCCGATTGTCTTCAAATTACACACATCACAATATTTTTATTAACCCAAGGTCTGGTGTGGTACCTCCGCCACAAAGGGTCAAAATTTTCAATATTCATGAAGCACATATAATGCGAAATTAACATCCGATTTCATTCAGACATAGCCCATGTCAATATTTCCATCAACACAAGGTCTGTTAGAAAGATGGTAGAGATCGGGCTTGGCATAGATTTTATATTGTACAACTTTCAATCAAATCGAGGAGAATAAAGTTTGTATTAGGTATTTTTAAATTCTGCTGGATTAATTAAGTTTCCATTAAAAAAAAAATTAAATCCAGTCCTTTGCGTCTTAAAATGTTTATATTTCCATTTAATATCTCCTTTTTTAACTTTATTTTCAGACTCAAGACTTCTCGTCTCAATTCTATTTGACCGAAGCCGACATCGGTAAAAATCGCGCTGAAGCATCATGTAACAAATTGGCCGAACTTAACAACTATGTACGTACTTCGTCATATACCGGTGAATTGACCGAAGATTTCTTGCGCCAATTCCGGGTGATTGTGTTGACAAATGCCAGCGATGCTGAACAACATCGCATTGCAAAGTTCGCTCATGAAAACAATATTGCATTGATCATTGCCGAAACTCGTGGTTTATATGCCAAGGTCTTTTGTGATTTTGGTGAAAACTTCACCATTTACGATCAGGATGGCGCCCAACCAGTATCAACGATGATTGCAAGCGTTACCCATGATTCACAGGGTGTTGTCACTTGTTTGGACGAGACCCGTCATGGTCTGAACGATGGCGACTATGTAACATTCTCTGAAGTCCAAGGCATGACTGAGTTGAATGGTTGTGCTCCACTGAAGATCACTGTGCTTGGTCCATACACTTTTAGCATTGGCGATACCAGTAAATTTAGCGAATACAAGACAGGTGGTATTGTTACCCAAGTAAAAATGCCCAAAACCATCAGCTTCAAACCATTGGAGGTGGCCGAAAAAGAGCCTGAGTTTTTGATTTCCGATTTCTCCAAGTTTGATCATCCCGCTAGCTTGCATGTTGCTTTCAAAGCACTGCATAAATACATCGAAGAAAATGGAGGTAAGCCACCACGTCCATGGAACGAAGAAGATGCCCAAAAGTTTTTGCAATTATGCAAATCGATGGATGAAAATGTGTTGGACAATGTTGTCTTGACATTTGCCAAGATTTGTGCTGGTAACACTTGCCCCATTGATGCTGCCATGGGTGGTATGGTTGCCCAAGAAGTTCTCAAGGCCTGCAGTGGCAAATTCACTCCCATTTATCAATGGTTCTACTATGATGCTGTTGAATGTTTGCCCGATGGTGGTGTAGAGGAAGCTGATGCCCAGCCAATTGGTTCCCGATACGATGCTCAAATTGCAATTTTCGGCAAGAAATTCCAAGAGAAATTGGGTGATGTCAAGTAAGTTTTGCGGTCCTATTTTGGCAGTACTTTACCTTATTTATCTTCTGAATTTTGCAGATACTTTATTGTTGGCGCCGGCGCTATTGGTTGTGAACTGATTAAGAACTTTGCTATGATTGGTGCTGGTGTCCGTAATGGTCAACTTTTCATAACCGACATGGATCTCATTGAGAAATCAAATTTGAATCGTCAGTTCCTTTTCAGACCAAAAGATGTGCAAAAACCCAAGGCCCAAACAGCTGTGGCTGCCATCAAACAAATGAATCCCGAAATCAAGGTCACCGCCTATGAATTGCGTGTCGGCTCCGAAACCGAAAAAGTATTCTCCGAAGAATTCTACAGCCAATTGGATGGTGTAGCCAACGCTTTGGATAACATTGATGCACGTATTTATATGGATCGTAAGTGTGTCTTCAATCGCATACCCTTGGTAGAGTCTGGTACTCTCAGTACCATGGGTAATGTTCAGGTTATTGTGCCATTCCTGACCGAATCGTACAGTTCATCACAAGATCCACCAGAAAAGAGCATTCCGATTTGTACATTAAAGAATTTCCCCAATGCCATTGAGCACACCCTGCAATGGGCCAGAGATTGTTTCGAGGGTATTTTCACACAGACAGCTGAGAATGCGGCCCTCTATGCCACAGATCCCACTTTCATTGAGCGTACATTGAAATTGTCTGGCATTCAGCCATTGGAAACTTTAGAGTCTGTCAAGGTAATGTGAGAATTTATGAGCTTGTTGCAATTTAAGTACTAATTTTCAATGCTCTTCCACCTAGGTTGCTTTGATCGATGCCAGACCCAAAGATTTTGCCGATTGTGTTAAATGGGCCCGTCTCTACTGGGAAGAGTGTTATGCCAATCAAATTAAACAATTGTTGTACAATTTCCCTCCCAATCAAATTACCTCAAGTGGTCAACCGTTTTGGTCGGGCCCCA